CTGCGCGGCCACGAGCGCGGCCGCGGATGGGGATCCCAAAGCGGTGCGGCGACAGACCGCGCGGTGCCCTCATCCTCCTCCTCCTCCTCCTCCTCCTCCTCATCCTCCTCCTCTCCTCTCCTCCGCCTCCGCCTCCGCCTCCTCCTCCTCCTCCTCCTCCTCCTCCTCCTCCTCCTCCTCCTCCTTCTTCTTCCCACAGCCCTGAGGGACCAACGTCTGAGGTGTCTAAAAAGGATACGTCAGCGGTGAGATAGGCGGCAAGTATAGCGGGGGACGAGGAGAGCAGCAGTGGCCAACATCAGCCCGACTCGCAATACAAATCGAGCGGGGCATATAGATGGGCAACTGACGCCTCCAGCCATGCATCCCCCGGAGGCGTGGGGGCACAGCGTTGTGAGGCTGCCTGCGTGATAACAGCAGCTACGTGGAATTCCACCTGGCTGCTGTCAGGAGGGGCCAGGATCGGCACGGCATTCATGCACAAGCACTGACGGTCCCCAATGGGCATACATCTCGACGTGGTGGTCGGAGACGTAGCTTGCAGGGAGCACAGGAACCTGACCTCGGGGACCTTCCAAATCCAGGGCAGGTTGGCTTGCCGAGCAGGTGGGTTTAAAATGAGCAGAGTCGCCAGGCCCGAGGACGCCGCACACAGCGCCAGTGTCAGCGCCGCCCTCAAGCACGCACTGTCGAGCTCCATCTGCTTCCACTCCGAGGGCGACCTGGCTGAAATTCCCCATGGCTCATCGCAGCTCCTTAAAGGCCTGCATTCACCACCCTTGGCTTTGCAGCGGGGGGCGGGGTCCCACGAGGAAAGGATAAAATCCGTCACGAGACCAATAACACGCCCGGCTAGAAATAGATCAGTAATGAACAATAGCTCCTTATGAAATCCCTCAATGGAGTTCTGGAAAAGCTCGAGAATATTAAGAAACAAAACAAAAACATTCATGCCCGCTATGGCACTGGACTTCTCCGCTCTGTCCTGGATGTCACCTTGACTCCTGGGAGCTGCACGGAGGATCACAATGTACTTAGTACCAGGGGCCGCAGGCAGGTGGACCTCTGCCCGAGTGGGCACATCTTCCTGGATACACACTGGTTGGCAAGAAATTCTCGGCATGCAAGTGGGGAGGCCCTTGGAGGCAGCCGCCCCCCTCAGCCTAGGTCCAGTCGTGAGGACAGGCGGGAGCTGCGCTGACTCCGCGTAGTAGCCTTTCTCTCGGAGCGTGCGTGCTAGCTCCGCGTCCTCCGCCTTAGCCGCCATCACCTGTTCGGGGCTCAGCGGTGCGATGACGGCCATAAGGTCCGCCAAGCACTTCGATGAGCCATGCCGAACGTGTTTGAGCAATCTTAGATGCGTATGGAAGTTGAGACCGCATGCCATGCACACAGTGCCTGAAACGTAGCTGGGGGGCGGGGTCAAGGCGGGGGTGGCACTTCGAGCGATGGGAGGCCCATGCGCCCTTGGTGGCCAACACCGCCCCACAGCCCAAGCAAGGATACAAGGCGAGGACCGACGGCGGGCGCAAAAACGACGGGAGCGCAAGACCCTTGGCGATGCAACACTTTCGCCACCCGTCCTTGAATTCTTCATGACGCTGATCGTCCAAAAATTTGGCCCTGGCAGCCGATTCTGCTTGCTTGCAGATTCGCTTCCAAAACTTGTTGCTGCTAGACCTCAGGAGCCACAACCACCAAGCAGGGGGCCCTGACGGTAAGAATTCCCTGGCTAGATTCACATGTCTGCTGAGCCACAACAGGTCATCGCAACACAATGCGGACCATGATTCTGGCACTGAGGCTAGCTCGTCCAGGATCGCCAGCAGACAAGCAGGCGCCGATTTGAGAAGCCTGGGAAGAAATCGCAGCCGCCTGAGCCTCAACACCAGCTCGACGGGCATGATCTCACACTTGACAAAAACTCTATGGTCTGCAGCAGCCTTACCAGAACTAGAATCGTACCCAAGACCGGCCGCCAATCTAAATGGGCTCAAATAGTTGTGCGCCAGGGTCGCCATCTGTTCGACGTTTAACTTGTGCCAAGTGAGGGCATTAAACAGAAGGTGCGACGTGCACAAAGAAGTAACATAAACTAACTTGGCCCATAAATTGACTTGCTTCCTGGGGAAAACAGTGCGCCTCAGTACCCCTAGAGGACGTCGCTGCTGATGGCAGCGGTGCGCCAGCTCGGGTCCCAGAGAAATGTGATGGTCCTGGCAGCTTCCCAAGTGTTTGTAGGTTCTAGTGAGGCACAGGGAGACGCCTAAGGAAGGGACGAGAAGACCAGTGGCAGCCAAGGCCGCACACTCCCCTCGTGCCTTCCTGGAACCTGCGCCGCTGAAGAAGGCCATGAGCTCCGTCTTGCCCGCCTTCCAGTTCATGGTGAACCCCCTAGACTTGGTTTCTTCGTACATGATCGTGACGAGGGCGATGGCCGCCTCCTTCCAGAGCCTAGCGTCTAACAGCTCGATGCCGTTGACGAGGTCATCCATGAAGGCAGGATCCCATACGTTTTCCTCTACATGCTCGTGCTCGCGACCTCTGAAAATCCTCTGAGACGGGACCACATCCTGAGTCCTCTGAAGATACCCCAGGGATCCTAATCTACTGTTGACCGCGATGATGATTGGGTCGAAGGCTATGATGATCAGGAGGCCTGCTAGTGGCATGCCTGGCCTCGTACCTAGGCGGGGGGAGACAACCCTGGTACTCCCCCGTACTTGGAACCAATTGCATTCCATCACGTCAACCACTGCTTCCAGGAGGTGCTTACTTGCAAGTCCGTCCAGGGCGCCAGGCCTGGCGACTAGGGCATGGCACAGAGGCTCCAGACAATTTGGCATCTCCAAGTCCGCCAGCGTGTTTTGGATGTCCTCGCTGTTCTGGGCCATTCTGGCAACGAATCCTCGGATGACCGAATAGAATGCCGCCTTTAGATCGGTGTACAACGACAGGTATGTGCGCTTCCTAGCCTTGGCAGCCAACATGGCCGACCGAAGATGCAAGGATGCAGCGTCAGTGCCGCGTTGAGGGAGAGCTCCCTGCTGGACCACCGACAGCATGTTCATCGATGCCTCTAACAATTTACCCCTGAGGAAGGCATGGTGCAACTTCGCCGTGTGACATCCCAGTAGGATGCCTCCGTAGTGTTCCAGGGGTTCGGGGGGCCCAGATTTGCGCAGATCACATTGCCAACCTCCTTTGAACAGCAGGGGCTCCCTGGACGCCATGACAACTTTCACGAACAACGGCAGTAGGATCTGCGTGCATTCTTGCGGAGCGACCTGGCAAAGATCATTGCTGAGTCCGTCAGGCCCAGCTCCTCTCCTCTTGGCTGCCTTCATGATGTCGTGCTTGAGCCTGCGGAAGGGGGTGATCATGTCCAGCTCCCTGGGATACACATTTCCCCGCTCGGGGAGGGCGTTGTATCTTTTAACCAGTTCTTCCCAGCTGAGTGTCTGCCCATTCTCAACTACAGCGAAATAATCAGTGAGGGCCTCCGAGAGATCTCCAGATGTGGCCAAAACCTCGCCCTGAGAACCTCGTCGGATTCTAAGCCCCTCGACCTGAAACTTGGAGCGCTTTCCCCCGAACCTTTGCAGCTGGCAAAGCACTCCCCATTCCACTCGACTCTCGTTTGAGGACCTAGCGTTGCTCAACTGCTGCGCGAGGTCGTCTAACAGCTTGTTGCGCGAGAGCTGCAAGGCCCTTCTCAGGGCCGGCTTCGACTTGACCAGAAACTCAAGCATGTGTGCGGCTAACACACTTGCCGCCAGGATCTGTTTATCCCAATCAGCGAAAGCCTGGAAAAGCTCCGAAACCAGGAGGTCCAGCTCAAGATCGGCGACGTTCTGGGGGGGGCCCGCCTCAATTGCCGCGGCGACCAGCCTCCTGACACCACCAGAGTCATGCTTACCCCAGAGACGCCACGCCTGCCGTACTTGCCTTCTGAAGATGATTACTCCTAGAAGATCCTCTGATACATATGGCTTGATCGGGGTACGTGCGGGTTTAGGGAAGCATGTTTGTGCACCCACGTACATGTATTGAATGATGTCGTGCAAGTGCTGATTCATGTCGACCTGGTGGGGCACCGTGGGAAACGCTGCCAGGTGCATCCTGAGGGCTGCCGCCTTATCAGGGTCCTGGGTGCCCATAGCGTCGTAGCCGCTCTGCTGTTGCGCTGCTTTGGTGGAGCCCTGGGACTCGAAGCGCATGAAGACAGGATAATGATCCTTGCCAGTGCAAAAGGAATCAATATCATATCGAACTTGATGTTGGTCCAATGCGGGAATCATATTCTGCTCAACCGCAATGTAGTCTATTCTGTGTGGTGTTTCAGACTTCGACGAGACGAACGTGTACGAGTCCTGGCTGAGAGAGGGGACTAACGTGTTGGCCGCGGCCAAGCCCGTCTCCAAGAGCACGTCGTGGAAAAGCCCGCCCGATTCGTCCTCGTCCTGCCTGAATCCTTCACTTCCCACTGCTTCAGACACAATGCTGCCAAGCCTGGCATTCGCGTCTGGGAAGGCCAGCTGGACTTCCCATGTACGGCAGATCCCTATGAGGTCCCGCCACCACTGTTTCCTCTGCTGCGAAGTATACTCGTCTCCGTTGCGCAACGCATGGGCAACCAGGATGACCTTCCTAAAGAGTGGGGCGCAACAGCCAACCACCAGGTGCCTCTGGGTAGCGCACAGCGGCCTAAAATGTTTCTGTTCAAAGTATAGCCCTTCGCCCCCACGTCGCCCGTAGGGTAGGCGCAGGGAGACCCAAAGTTCAACGCCCAAGTTCTTGCCACCGTCGGATCCCGAAGAAAGCAAAGTATCCAGCAGAACACCTTTCCCCCGACGGATTTCTCGCCTCCTGCACCCCAACGATGTGGCACTGCTCCTGAGCAAACTGCAACCTGAGAACCTCTCCCGACGTTTTGGCGCGTCTTGCCGCCGTGGCCTCCGCGTCCCTGCCTGTCTTGGCGTCGAAGGTGGCAAGCCTCA